CTGTATATCTCCCCGGCCAAGCCATAGAAGACGAAGCTTTCTACAGGAGCTCTTGGAGTTATGTCCTGTGTGGAAAGCTTCTCTGTGTGGACTGAACTCAAAAAGGCTCCTATTCCCTCCAAAAACCCAAAGGGGGCGGGACCAGGGAACCTAACTATAATTGACAGGTGGCTTGCCCTATGATTGCAGCCAAAAGAAGCCACCTATCTGCAGAGTCCCTGAAACTTAGGACTATAACAAACATTCAATGCAAAGCAAACAAAATTGGAACTCCTGGTGCAGTTGTACCTGCACAACCACCCTCTGATGTTGGCTGGCCACACAGTTTTCATGGGTGAAATGCTGGAGGATGTTCATGTAAGACTTTTTGGCATTGTTTGCTGAACAAACTAATAAAGCTACTCTACTAGAAGGGATTAATGTAGGTAGGTGGCTGTTTTTATTAAACACCATCCAAGCTGCTATTTTCATCTGTTTTGTTAGACCATATCCTACTTTGCAGGCTTGTTTAGAATGGGAACTGTTTCCCCAGCGGCTCTGTGAACCCTTCTGCTAAATTGGGCCCTGGGGCTCTTGTCAGTGTACTTTCCCCGGAGTCCATCTGAGTGCTGTTGCTCCTCTGGAAAACATGACAACAGGAAGCAGCATTACTAACAGACAAAAATATTAATGTTGTTGTTGTTAAGTTTCCATCCAAAACTATGAAGGAAATAATGCCTGATCTGACCAATTTCCTTCCGTATGTTCTCTGAAGCACTTTATCTATCTGTTAAATTGATCCCCCCATACCACTCTTCAAAACCCCCATGCCTAGACATACCCTACTCTGTACACACCCAAGGTTTTAAATTTTTAATCTACACCTGGCCCAGCCATAATGTTTTTAAATCTTTTGTGTGTTATTGCTTATATGTTTAACTGCATTATTTATATTGTTTTATTTGCTTGCTTGTTTGTTGATGCATTGTTGTATTTGTATCTGATGGGCTTGGCCTCATATAAGCTGCCCCGAGTCTCTTTGGGGAGATGGTGGTGAGGTATAAATAAATTATTATTATTATTATTATTATTATTATTATTATTATTATTATTTTAAAAGGGAAAAATGAATTGTGAGCCCTATAATACTTGGTATGCAAGAGTTTGGACTATAATAACTTGTGTGTAAGATCAATTAAATTCAAGATTGTGCACTTGATTACTTGTATGTACCTTCTATATTCAACAATATCAGTAGTGTACTGATGATTGCTACAACATGGTTACTAAACTCCCTATTTGGTCCCTTTTGCAGAAGTAAGCATAGTAATGCCACACAACTGTCATTTCATTCTAGGACTACTTCTGGGTTGTGGAGTGCAGACCTAGATCCAGTTGTTTGTATGTTGTTGCATTTCTGGTTCAGTGGCTCGCAAAAAGTTATTTCTGACCTAATTCTGTGCATTGCCAAGGCAAGCTTTGATTGAATCTCAGCCACCTGTATGTAGGACAGGTAACAGAGGGCGTACTCTAATGCAACCTTCTGGTGCCCTCAAGGTGTGCTGATCTGCCAAGGGACTGCAGTCTGACACAACTGGAGGACACTAGATGGGAGAAGTTTGGTTTAGCAGATTATTGCTTCTTTTTATTGGTGCTTCAACAGATCTTGGAAATGTATTGTCGAAGGCTTTCATGGCCGGAATCACTGGGGTGTTGTAGGTTTTTCCGGGCTATATGGCCATGTTCTGGAGGCATTTTCTCCTGACGTTTCGCCTGCATCTATGGCAAGCATCCTCATTACCTCTGAGGATGCTTGCCATAAATGCAGGCGAAACGTCAGGAGAAAAATTGCCTCCAGAACATGGCCATATAGCCCGGAAAAACCTACAACAACCCAGATCTTGGAAATACTAACATTCTTTGCAGTAGTACAATATTACAGTTGTAGATTCATAGAATCATGGAGTTAGAAGAGACCACAGATCATCCAATCCAACCCCATTCCGTTGTACAAGGAAATACAACTAAAAAAACACTCCTGACAGGTGTCTATCTGTGCTCATGGCAGATAGACATAACAAAAATGCATCCCTGATTTATGCTGTAGTATAGAGCTGGTATAGTGACAGTCAGCATGGTGTAGTGGTTTGAGTGTTGGACTATGTTTTTGGAACCCCAGTTTTGGCTATGGAAAGGTGACCCCAGGCAAGCCCCAAGTGATCCTTTAATAGGTTTGCATTCAAATTGCTGTAAGTTGAAAACGCCAACAGCAAATAGAGGTAGGCAACTACAGTGGTCAGAAGTTCACCTCTGGTTTTGAAAAAGTGGCATTTGTTTTAATATTAAGCCGTTCATGATAGCCTGTAAATGGGAGAAGTATCTATAGGGGTCGTTACCTATAAAGTCCGCAAACCGTTCGAGCCCAGGCTTTTTGTCAAACTGCATCTCCCTATATAAACCATCTCGTGGAATGCAGTCAGCACAGGAGGCCCGGCCCTCAGTCCCACCCCCGTCACAAGCTCGGTGGTTGGGAATGAGATAGAGCTCCTTCTCCGGGATCGCTCCCTGTCTCTGGAACTCCCATCCTAAAGAAACAAAAATGGCCCCACTCTCCTCTCCTTCAAAAAACTTCTGAAAACACACCTGTGCACCTTAGCATATGGAGAGGGGGGGGGAGGACTAGTAAACCCGAAATCAACTCCATTGGAACACTGGCTAACTTATTTGTTCTTTATGACAGCTACAGTATATCTTAAAGCACAATTATGATGGGCACTTTTTATGTAGTTTAATCGTTTATTCATTCAGGGTATATGTCTTTAATGTTCATTATGTAATAGTGAAATTTTGTTTTATCTGAGTATTTGTATTTTTTCAATTTAATATTAATTCTTTTTTGTCATAAGTTTATTGATGTTGTTTTGTATTAATTTGATGTGTTTCAATTTGATTAAGGCATTGGATATTTGCCTTTTTGTATGTGAACCACATTGAAACCCCTTGGAGAGAGAGGGCAGTCTATAAATAGATTATTATTATTATTATTATTATTATTATTATTATTATTTTACTGACACAAAACCACAGTATGTCACAGCAAACGAGATCGAACACTTCCCAAGCGTTTAGGACTGTGTGATGTATTTTCAAAAGATGCGCGCAAATCCAAGTAAGGTGGCCTTTTGCAGTTGACAGATCGTGATTTTGTCAATATTTATTGTTTATTATTTTACAGCAGAAGCAAATCACATTTTTATTTTTTTTATTTTTTGACTAGGAAAAGGGAAGTTCAAGGAATGTGGAGGGATAAAGGATGCAAACCATCCTGAAGTTTGGGAGCAATAGTCCCCACAGAGCCACGAAATTCAGTGAAAGCTCATTGGAAGGAAGATGTGATATAAACATAACTAATATGCAATTAATATTTGCTTTTCCTTACTGATGCAGGGGCATGTATTGGTTGCCAGCAATCATAAGTATTGAAAAAAGTGTTATGGCTTCTATCAGTGTTTCCATTTATTAGACTGTTTTGCCTTGTAGAAAACTTTAAGAAAGCTTTGAGGGGAAAAAAAGATAATTTCCACCAAAATTGAATTAGCACGTATACAACGGTTTGGCATTGATGTGGCCGAATCTTTTGGAGGCAGCTTGGCTTTGCCTGTATTTGTTTAAGATTGACTTATTCGAATGACTTATATAAAAGGAAATTATGGGTGCACCTTGTTCTTGGTCAGCAATATGGGACTAGGAGGCTCAAACATGTGAACAGTTCTTCTCCGGCTAGATCTTCTGGGGTTGAGCAGTAATGTAGGTCAAGCTAAGTTATTCCTCAGCAAAACTCTTCTGCTGCTTCTGGATTTCTTCATGTTAAAGTGTTCAGATCCCATCACTTTGTGTTAGCGTACACTCTTTTAGGCCCACGCTTTTCTCATTGGGGAATCTTGAAAGCTTTTCAGACATCTCCGAATACACTCCTGTGTTCCTATTAAGAAGACAAGATAACATTTTTTGTTAGGGCAGCATTTTAGTCAACCTTCTTTTAATGGGACGCCTCCCCCACTAAATCATAGTCCCAGAGTTAAGTCATCAGGTATTTGGCTAAAACTCCCAGAATTACTGAACTAAATGGTGGATTATATACTGCAGACTGTCTCTAAGAATTGACAAGCTTCCCACAAAGAAAGAAGGTCTGATTCATGGATTCTGAGTTAGTTTAAATAACAAATGTATTGCACAGCCCTTTTGTGTAAATGCTGTAGACCAGGCATGGGCAAACTTCAGCCCTCCAGGTGTTTTAGAATTCAACTCCCAAAATTCCTAACAGTTTACCAGCTGTTAGGAATTGTGAGAGTTGAAGTCCTAAACACCTGGAGGGCCAAAGTTCACCCATGCCTAAAGCTATACTGGAGTGATGTGTGAACAAGGATTTTTTTATCATGTCAGAAGTGAATTGAGAATATACTGCAAGTCACTTCTGGTGTGAGAGAATTGGCCATCTGTAAGGACGTTGCGCAGGGGACGCCCAGATGTGTTACCATCCTGTGGGAGGCTTCTCTCATGTCCCCATATGGGAAACTGGGGCTGACAGACAGGAGCTCACCCCATTTCACGGATCCACACCACCAGCCTTCAGATCAGCAGTTTGGCCGGCACAAGAGTTTAACCCCACCACAAAGGTATCTAATCCACACTGTTTCACTGTCTTCCTCCCCTTTGTCTTGGAGTCCTAGACAAATGTGGAATGGAGCTACCTTTTGGGGGGTGAAAGGGAAAGCAGATTGGATGTCCTTTTGCATTCCCATCCTGCTGTGAATCCATTATAGCCCCTCAGGTTAGAGCAGAAGTAACAGGGACTTGCAAAGAAGTTCTCTATGCTTTGTCCAGGATGGCGGCTGCCATCACCAAATTTCTACAGAGCGAAAGGATAGCATGTCTCTCCGAGGTGTTCGGCTGGGCAAGCACTTAAAATCTCGGACAAGGCAGGAAATTCTAAGCCTCCTTGTGTTATGTTTCCTTTCCAGTGAATGAGTTCACGGTGATCAGGAAGAAGTTCAAGTGCCCCTATTGCAGCTTCTCCGCCATGCACCAGTGCATCCTGAAGCGGCACATGCGCTCCCACACGGGAGAAAGGCCCTACCCTTGTGAAACCTGCGGGAAGAAGTTCACTCGCCGGGAGCACATGAAGCGGCACACCTTGGTAAGTCAGAGCCTTTGAGTGTTCAAATTCTAGCCTCCATTTTTTGGTGGACTCTGTGGCGTAATGTAAAATAAACCATGTGTAGTTCACGTTTGATCAGCCCACACACGGCCTTGCCAGAGAAAGAAAATATGCCACACAGATGAACAATGAAGAACAAGTAGTTTACTTTTCGTAAATCAGAACAACATATGTACAATCATGTGATCAATCACATCGACTCACATAATGTCCTTTTTATGTGAGATTTAAAATGGTCTTTCTTTGTCCATGTGGATACACTCCTTCATTAGCTCAAGAAGTGAGAGCACACTCCAAACTATCTCTCTCCTTCTCTCTGCTTCTCTGCAAGCATTTGCGTAGCTCAAGCCTGAAAAATGTAACAGTATCCAAAAGTCTTGATGAATGCAAGGCTGGGGTGAAAATTGCTAAAAGAAACATAAACAACCTTAGATATGCAGATGATACCACTTTGATGGCCAAAAGCGAGGAGGAACTGAGGAGCCTTCTAATCAAGGTGAAAGAAGAAAGTGCAAAAGCTGGGTTGCAGCTAAACATAAAAAAAAAACCAAGATTATGGCAACAAGAATTATTGACAACTGGGAAATAGAGGGAGAAAATGTGGAGGCAGTGACAGACTTTGTATTTCTAGGTGCAAAGATTACTGCAGACGCAGACTGCAGCCAGGAAATCAGGAGACGCTTACTTCTTGGGAGGAGAGCAATGTCCAATCTCGAGAAAATAGTGAAGAGCAGAGACATCATACTGACAACGAAAGTCCGTGTAGTTAAAGCAATGGTAGTAACCTATGAATGTGAGAGCTGGACCATAAGGAAGGCTGAGTGAAGGGAGATAGATTGAACTGTGGTGCTGGAGTAAAATTCTGAGAGTGCCTTGGACTGCGAGAAGATCCAACCAGTCCATACTTCAAGAAATAAACCCTGACTGCTCATTGGAGGAAAGGATATTAGAGGTCAAGATGAAGTACTTTGGCCACATCATGAGAAGACAGGAAAGCTTAGAGAAGACAATGATGCTGGGGAAAATGGAAGGAAAAAAAAAGAGGGGCCGGCCACGGGCAAGGTGGATGGATGGTATCCTTGAAGTGACTGGCTTGACATTGAAGGAGCTGGGGGTGGTGACGGCTGACAGGGAGCTCTGGCGTGGGCTGGTCCATGAGGTCACAAAGAGTTGGAAGCAACTGAATGAATAAACAACAACAGAGACTAAGTCCTATATCCCTTTCTCAAGAATGCATTCCAACACTGATTTTCTATTGGAGAACCCTATAAAAGGACAGATGAATAACAGCTTTTGCTGTGAAAGGGAAATATCAGAGCATGTTGTTGTTGTTTTCCTCAATCATCTAATGGAACTGCGTTGTAAAAGATGTACACCAGGTAGCTTGTTTTGCAGCCTGACCTGTTAAAAGGGCTTCAGTTGCCATAGTAGCGGTTGAGTGCCCAGCCATCTGGCCATGGGAGTGATTGCCTCGGAGATGCCCCTCACTTGGCCTCCTTTGGGTAGGCCTGCCTTCTGGCATTTGGTAGCAGAAATGTACCTCCAGCTAAAGTTGTGCACATGTCAGGGTTCTTCTTTGTCAAGTGAGAGGAACTTGCCTTATTAATTGCATTGCGGGTATCTTGGACTGGTTTATCATTCAATGAAGTTTGTTGACTCTTAAGAACAAGAAATAATAATAATAATAATAATAATAATAATAATAATAATAATAATAATACTTTATTTATATTCCACTCTATCTCCCCAAAGGGACTCAAGACAGATTCCAAACATAAAGGGCAAACATTCAATGCCTGAATACAACAACAATACATCCATACTAACAAAATTTATACAGCCCAACATATAAATATGAATTTCACTTAACGAACTAAAATTAAATAAAAAGCACAGCCTGTTATAACAGACAGAAGACAAAACATTCAATGATTAGCATTTAATGATGTAGCAGTTTCAAGGTCTGGCTTCTTACTGCCTGGGGGAATCCTTTGTTGAGAGGTGATTAGCTGTCCCTGATTGTTTCTTGTCTGTTTGAATGTTGTTCTTTATTTACTGTTATGATTTCAGAGTTTGTTTTAATACTGCTAGGCCATTAAATGCTAATCAAGGTGACCAATTGAAACATTAACACCTACCTCCAACGGACAAGAGTTCTTTCTCTCACCCTGGACATTCCACAAATATATAAACCCCATTTTCCTAGTTTCCAACAGACTTTACAACCTCTGAGGATGCCTGCCATATATGTAGGCGAAACGTCAGGAGAGAATGCTTCTAGAACATGGCCATATAGCCGGAAAAACCTACAACAACCCAGTGATTTTGGTCATAAAAGCCTTCGACAAGGCATGGACAAACTTCGACCTTCCCTCCAGGTGTTTTGGATTTCAACTCCCACCATTCCTAACAGCCATAGGCTGTTAGGAATGATGGGAGTTGAAGTCCAAAACACAAGTCTGTTTTAAAGTGTATTAAGCACTGTGTTATTTAATTTCTGTCTTGCCTTCCCTCCATTAAGGAGCTCAAAGCAGCTTACATCATATGTTAGAAGACAATAGCTAAGGTGATATATTGTGAAATTTTTTAAAAGCTGTTGAACAAGTGGAGAAACATGAGCGTAAAAAGGTTAAAATGCATTGAAAACATAGCTATGGGTACAGTGCACTAATTAAATATATCCTTAATGAAATATCCTTGTGCTGCAAGCAGTTAAAAGCTGGAGGCCTTGTTGAACAAAATGGGCATTGCTGTTGGCATAAGACTAGTTCCTAGTCAGGCAAGCCTTGCATAAAAACATACGGGATTTTGTCAACAAACTTTGCCCACACTGATAAGTCCATAGCTTGTATCAGCACCAAGGCTTTGGAGGGCTCAGTGGATCACATGCAATTCAAAAGTGGAGGTTTCATCTTTTGATGTCGTTGTCGAGTGTAAAAATTAAAACACTAGCCAGTGGTTCTCAACCGGTGGGTTCCCAGGTGTTTTGGCCTACAGCTCCCAGAAATCCCAGCAAGTTTACCAGCTGTTAGGATTTCTGGGAGTTGAAGGCCAGAACATCTGAGGACCCACAGGTTGAGAACCACTGGGTTATACATTCAATGCTATTTTCTAGATATACAAACAGACAGATAGAGGTATTTTTGGCATTGCCTGGAGCCTGGAGGTTATACTTGATTCCACCATGGGGGGAGCTGTCGCTTCATCCGCTATGACACCGACTCATTCAATCGTATTTCCTCCTTGCTCTTTGACCGCTGGCCTTTTTATAGCATCATGAAATACCTCCCTGCTTTAAGCAGTTCCTAATTTCTCTACTTACAGCTCACAGCTCAGCTGTTTTCAAACTTCTTAGGTGGACAGTAAGCTAGGCTTAACAGTCAGGTGCTCAATCTGACTCAGGCTTTGAACCTGTCACCTTCTGGTCAGCAGTGATCTATTGCAACTGGTGATTAGGTGGTGATTAACCAGCTGTGCTACAGCCTGGCCCTATTTTAAAGAAAAATACTCCAGCATTTGGTGCATTTGGGGACCCCTCTCCCCAGTACCAACTGCTGCTCTGGGCCAGAGTGAAGAGAGAGAGCTCCACCTTGTCTCCTGTGCTATGCTAATAATATAATATAATATAATATAATATAATATAATATAATATAATATAATATAATATAATATAATATAATATAATATAATATAATATATTGTATATACATATAATATTTATAATATTATAATGTAATGCAGTGTAATACTACTAATAATATGATACTATAATTATATATTTATATTGCATGTAATATTACTAATCATATTACAATATACTGGTATAGTACAATATAGTAATATTTAATACTGATATTGTACTGTGCTAATAATATAATATATTGTATATATGTGTGTGTGTATATATATACTATACTTACTATATATATATAGAGAGAGAGAGAGAGAGTAAGCTGCTCTGAGTCCCCTTCGGGGTGAGAAGGGCGGCATATAAATGCTGTAAATAATAAATAAATAAACAAACAAATAAATAAATAAATAAAATATCCTACTAGCTGTCACTTGACCCCAGAAACTCCTTATCTGCCTCTGCTAACTGATTTCTCCCAATCTTTCTCCCCTTTCGAAGGTTCATAGCAAAGACAAGAAATACGTGTGCAAAGTGTGCAGCAGAGTGTTCATGTCTGCGGCCAGCGTGGGAATTAAGCACGGCTCCCGGCGCCACGGCATTTGCACGGATTGTTCAGGGCAAGGCATGGCCGGCCACTTGGATGCTGGTGGAGGAGACGGTTCTCCAGACGGACTGTATGGCCCAGAAGGCCAGTACATGGAAGACGCCGAGGACCTCAAGGCGGAAGGAGACGAAGACCTGGCAGACGACGACGACGACATGAAATGGAAGGACGAGGACATCGAAATCTCACAAGATGGTGGGATCTTGGAGGACGACAGAGATGGGATCGACTCCCCGCAGGAGCATGAGAACTCTGGAGACACTGACAAGGATTTCACTTGGATTTCTTAGGGATTTCTGCTCTTTTCCTCATTGGTTTGGGGCTACAGAAGGGAAGGAGAAACTCAAGTAGCTCTGTCTGTGTCTCAGTATACAAAAGGCCCTTGTGCATGGAGGTTTGGGGAAAAAAGAAACTAAAGAGAAAGCAAGTTCTTTATCTATTCCATTCATATCAGTACATATTTCCTGTGATGGTACCACTTTTTTGAGTGTCCCTGCCTTTCAGTGGGAGTCAGTCAGAGTGAATGCAGACTGTGCCGAGTTTCCTCCCTCCTCAAATATTTTTTCCACTGTCAGCCAGCTTCAAAGGCTTCCCAAACAATAATTATTAAAATGTTTTCAAATAACTGCTACTCCCAACAGCAAGGGATTTGGTATCAAGGTTACTGGGAATAAACAAAGCAAGAGGGAGAATTTGCAGACTTCCCCCTGCGTTTGATATGCCAGAGAGAACAATAATCTTTCAGGGTTCCTTGCAGCCTTCACTAGGAAAAAAAATACTCTTTCCCTAAGGTCATTTGATAAAAAGAATTAATTTGTCCCACTGACATTGGTAAGAGAAGGATGCCCAGATCCACAGCTTGGTTCTTGGTGGATGAAGGTGAGGAATCGCTGTGGCAAAAGTGCCCCCTTGTGGCTTGCCCACTTCCATGCACTTGGCTTCACTTGGTCATGCTCTTCCGTGATATATGCAAGTTTTGAATTGAACATCCTGAGAATATGACAAGCCAAGTTACCACCTGCTTTGCCATAGTCTATAGAGCGTGTGAGTGAGAGAGCTTTTGGAAAAATCTCTCTTATTTCCCAAGGCAGCTCTATCAGTCCTTGCTTTTCCATCTAGGGAATTGTGGAATCTCCAGTGCTGAATCATAGAATCATAGAACCATTGAGTTGGAAGAGACCTGGTGGGCCATCCAGTCCAACCCCCTGCCAAGAAGCAGGAAAATCCCATTCAAAGCACCCCCGATAGATGGCCATCCAGCCTCTGCTTAAAAGCCTCCAAAGAAGGACCCTCCACCACATTCTGGGGCAGAGAGAGTGTTCCCTTGCTGAACAGCTTCCACAGTTAGGAAGGTCTTCCTCATGTTCAGGTGGAATCTCCTTTCCTATAGTTTGAAACCATTGTTCCTTGTCCTAGTCTCCAGGGAAGCAGAAAACAAGCATGCTCTCTCCTCCCTGTGGCTTCACCTCATATCTTGACCCATGGTCCTCATCATGTTTTCTCTCAGCCTTCTATTCTACATACTAAACATGCCCAGCTCTTTAAGCCGCTCCTCATAGGACTTGTTCTCCAGGCCCTTGATCATTTTAGTTGCTTTCCTCTTTCTCTGGAGGTTTTTAAGTAGAGGCTGGATGACTATCTATCAGGAGTGCTTTGTGTGCTCCTGAATGGCAGAACGAGGTTGGGCTGGATGGCTTTTGGAGTCTCTTCCAAATTTATGATTCTAGGAATTGATCAGTGGGGAAGTTCCGTTTGATTTTCTATTTCAGGTACCCAAATATCGTTGGCAGAATGTCATGATTGCAGCACCATTTCCTTTGCATACTTTCTGCAACATTTTGTGGGTTGTTCGGGCTGTATGGCTATGCTCTAGGTGCATTCTCTCCTGACGTTTCGCCTGCATCTGTGGCAGGCATCCTCAGAGGTTATGAGGACCTCATAACCTGAGGATGCCTGCCACAGATGCAGGCGAAATGTCAGGAGAGAATGCTCCTAAAGCATGGCCATATAGCCCGAAAGACCTACAACAAGCCAGTGATTCCGGCCATGAAAGCCTTCGACAATACGTTTCGTGGATTTACATTATTTTAAAAACATGTTCTGAAATTAAATAATCAATCAGGTTTCTGGTGCCAGACCTGACAATACACATGTACCCTGGAACATTTGCAGAAACGTATTTGGTGTCTCAGTCCTAAGAACTGGAGAGTAATTTATGAAGGGTTACTACTTTTCTGGGGCTACTTCTTGATTTCCAAACATTGCCCCTCACTCCTTGTGCAGCATGACTAACCTTGAAACTGTCGGAACCAGGGAGCCAAATAAGAGAAAAGGTGCTATTTTTCAATTTTGCTATTTTCTGCAGCCAAGACAGCAGACTTCTTTTGGGTGTGCACCGTCTTTGAAGAGCACTTATATCGAGGAGATGGACTGCATGACCTCTTCCAACTCTTCGGTCTTTGTTATTTATTGTGCTGTTTCATTTCCCCTTGGAACTAATGTAGTGAAGGAAACTTAACATGTCAGAGGGAGAGAACAAAGGCTCCTTATTCTTACTGTAAATTGTTACTTCACCTTTATAAGTCAGTGGAGGAGGTGAAGGTCACAAGATCTTCAAGCAAAGTTCTTGAGGAAGAAATCTGAATCAGTCGGTTTCTTTCAACAGTCATGCTTCTTTTCCTTTTCTCAAAAGGGCTACAGAGTTTTTTTCTCCCTTGTTTTGTTAGATATATGAAGAGCTGTACCATGTTATTCATTAGGAAACCTGTTGTGAAATGGTTTGAGAATTTCTGTAGGATATGTCCACCTTTGCCCAGGCACGAGCAAACTTTGGCCTTTCGAATGTTTTGGACTTCAACTCCCACAATACCCAACAGCCTACCAGTGTCCAATTCTGGGCACCACACTTGAAGGGAGATTATGACAAGCTAGAATGTGTCCAGAGGAAGAGGGCGACTCAAAGGATCAAGCCCTATGAGGAGTGGCTTAAAGAGCTGGGCATGTTTAGCCTGCAAAAGAGAAGGCTGAGAGGAGACATGATGAAGGCCATGGATCAAATGTGTGGGGAAGTCTTAGGGAGGAGAGAGCAGGCTTGTTTTCTGCTGCTCTGGAGACTAGGGTGGAAAACAATGACTTCAAACTACAGTGTTCCCTCACTACTTCGCAGTTTGCTTTTCGCGGACTTGCTGTTTCGCAGGTTTTTGCCTGTTTATGAATGGTTGCTGATGCATGATGTTCTAATCCCTCCTCCTGGCAACAATGGAGTGTGGAAGGGGGTTTCAACCTCCCCCTCGAGAGAGAGGCAGCCAATCAAGAGAGATTACAAAGCAAAGCAGAGATAGCTAGCAAAAAAAGGTGTGTGGTGCCTTTAAATGTCTCCTTGCTTCTGCCTCACCCTTGGAACTCGATATACATATATAGCATCCCTACTTCGCGGATTTTCACTTTTCGCAAAATGTAACACGTGCGATAAGTGAGGGAACACTGTAAAGGAGATTCCATGTGAACATTAGGAAGAAATTCCTAAATGTGAGAGCTGTTCAGCCCCGGAGTGTGGTGGAGGCTCCTTCTTTGGAGGCTTTTAAACAGAGGCTGGATGGCCATCTGTCGGGGGTGTTTTGAATGCAATTTCCCTGCTTTTTGGCAGGGGGTTGGACTGGATGGCCCACAAGGTCTCTTCCAAATCTATAATTTTATGATTCTACGGCAGTCTTCAACAATACATTGAAAAGAGACTTGTTGTTGGGCTTTTGCATCCTTCTCAAATGCCAGCCTCATGACATTTCTTGACCCTGGAGAGAAGCAATATTCCCAGCCATTTTGAAGGATCTTCCCAGAGCTAGATCTCTGCCCAAGAAAGGAAGCTTGCCTGATTTCCTACAAACTTCAAAACTGCCTTTCGTTTAAATGACAAGATTGGAGTCTTGCTTGGCAGGTGGTGGAGGGTGGGCTATTTCATCCCCTTGGTGCTTTTCTCTCCGTCTCCAAGCGCTTAAACTTTTATGGGTTTCAAAAGGCAAAAAAAAAAAAGTTTTGCACATCTTTTTTTCAATATTATCAAAGAGAGAGAAACTCCAAGTTCTAAAAATGCATCCATAAATTGAAGAGGGAAAGCTTTTGTAATACTGAAGGTATCTTTATTTCAACCCGCTCATCCTGTGACCTGTGCAAATCTTAAGAAAGCCACATTGGATGGTTTTGGTGGATTTGTAATTTTCTAGGCTCTTTCAATGTATGGTTTGGATTTCTGCCTTTTTTAAAAAGAAAGTCCTTCATGGTTAGAAGTGCAGTGTGCGTGTCCTTTCATAAAATACATATATATTTATTTTTTAGCGTGTTTTAAACCTGTCTAAAAAAAACTAATGGAATCGAACAAAAAAAAGGACAGTGTTTGGACGCGTTTTTTGCTGCAAATATTCTATATTATACTGACTTTATATATTATTATTATTATAAACCTGTGTTTGTTATGGAAATGTTTAATATTGGGAAGGGGGTTCGGTTAAGGGGCAATTTTAGTACTTAATGTGGGGTCAAGATGAGAAACGATTTGCGTTTGTACCATTTTGTCAGCATAATTCAGGTAACCATGACCGTAAAAAAAAAAAAATCTCAAAGTGCAGGGTCTGCCTGCCTGATACTCACTTCGTTTTGGGATTAGCTTAGAGAAATTTGCAAACAACCAACCTGTTTGAATAAAGTTGAGATACTGCTGCTAAAAATGTCTTTTTGAAAAACATACGAGAGCCAGTGTGGCATTAGGGTTCGAGTGTTGGGATATAATAATAATAATAATAATAATAATAATAATAATAATAATAATAATAATGCTTTATTTATATTTGGCCCTATATCACCAAGGGGACTCAGGGTTCACAGTACACATACAGTAAACATTCAAACATTGGACACATGACAGAAACCAACAGAAAGGAGGTATGTGGTGTCAACGTCCAGATTTTTGGCACCTTGGAGGTTGTGCTTGAATCCGGCCACAAGGTGTGCTGTCACTCCATCCTATATGATGAAAAGCCTTCCATTTGGTCACAAGGAGTTTTCTGATCTTTTTCTTTTATGCTGTTGTAAAATACTTTCCCCACTTTTTAGCAGTACCCAATTTCTCTACTTGCAGCTCTAAGCTGTTTTCGAACTGCTTAGATAAACAGTGAGCTGGGCTGACAGGACAGAAAAAGACAGAAAGGAGGTATGTTGTGTCGACGTCCAGCTTTTTTGGCGCCTTGGAGATTATGCTCGGATCCGGCCACAGGGTGTGCTGTCGCTCCATCCTCTATGACGAAGAGTCATCAGGACTTCCTCCTTCCTTTTGGTCACCAGGCATTTTCTGATCTTTTTCTTTTATGGTGTTGTAAAATACCTCCCCTACTTTTTAGTGGTACCCA